TGTAGGCAGGAGGCTCGTCCTGAGGGGTGAGACGAGGCAGGATGGGGGTGCCATTGCCATGGGGTGGCTGCTGCCTGACACCATCGGCCCCCACACACAGAGACCAGTGAGCTGCAGCCCGCCACCAGCAGTTAATAATAATAAAGTTGGAAGGGACCTTGGAGGTCATCTAGTCCAACCCCCTGCTCAGGCAGGAAAGAAGAAGCCACCTCTGAGCTGGATGGCCGGCCGACAGCTGAGGAGGCGATGCAGTGGGTCATGCCCAAAAAAAGGAGAGCATGCGAGGCCAGGAGGGATGGGACGGGGGGAGGGAAACCAGCCGTGCCGGGATGTATCCGGACATGTGGGGCCTCGGCGAGTTATCAGGCAGTTGGTTGAAGAGGGACAGTTGCCATCTCCGGGGCATGGCGCGAGTGCCTACAGAGAGGGCTCTGAGTGTCACCTCTGGCATGCGTGCCATAGGTTCGCCACCACTGGACTAGAACAATGGACCCTATCTAACAAAATGAAATTCAGTGGTAAGAAAAGTAAGGTTTTACACTTAGGAAGAAAAACCAAATGCACAGGTACAGAAGAAGTACCTGGCTCAATAGCAGTAACTGCAAGAAGGATCTAGGAATCCTAATGTACAATCACTTAAATATGAGCCAGCAGTGTGCTGCAGCTGCCAAGAAAATGCAGTCCTAGGCTGCATTAATAGAGGAATAGAATCAAGATCACGTGAAGTATTAATGTTACTTTATAATGCCTTGGTAAGACCACACTTGGAATATTGTATCCAGTTTTGGTCATCATATTGATTAAAAGAAGAAGTGATACTCTAAAAATTTAGAGTGCAGAACAGAGCAACAAAGATTAAGGGGGTGGGCCTAAAGCATATGAAGAATGGTTACAGGAATTGGGTTTGCCTAATCTAGTGAAAACAAGGACTGGGCTGACATGATAATAGTGTTCCAACATTTGAGGGGTTGCCACAAAGAAGAAGAGATTAATCTATTCTGCAAAGCACCAGAAGGCAGGACAAGAAGCAATGGATAGAAACTAATCGAGAGAACCAATCTAGAACTAAGGAGAAATTTCCCGACAATAAGAACAATTAACCAGTGGAATGGCTTGCCTCCAGAAATTGTGGATACTCCATCGCTGGAGATTTTTAAGAAGAGACTGGACGACCATTTTTCTGAAATAGTAGAGTGTCTCCAAGGTCCCTTCAACTCTGTTATTTTGTTACTCATAAAGCAAGACAGTTACCAGTAGAAAAGGCAGGGTTATTGTAATATTGACAAATTCATGCATGAATTTTAGTGCCTTATTTTTAAGTATTACATTACTCATTTTCCCTTGTCTTTTCTATGTACAATAAAAGCATCTCCATTTTTCTAACAGATTTATAATGCACATACTTATAATGGCAGACAAGGAGATACAATTCATCACAGTATTATGTTTTTAATTAGCATTCTTCATTATATTGATCACAGTAAATTTCTCCAGGTTAAAAGCTCATGCTAGGGTTGAGGGCCCTTCACCTGCTTTGGTGCAACGTGTATGTCCAACTTTGTTTCTAATGTTAGAGTAGTCCTTTTCATGCTCATTTTAAGTGGATAAGATGTTGATGGCTGTTTTGATCCCATCATAACAGCAGTAGTTTTTGCAGGTATGGAAGTGACAAGACATACTACTACAACAACTGCACAACATGATGGTAAATGCATGAGTGAGGGCAGAAACTGGGTTTTGACAAGAAAATGTCAAAACTGTTATTGAAATTGGGTAAAAATTAAAAACAGGACACGGTTATGTATAAATTAAAATATATTGATAAATGCCTTAATTGATCAAGTTATAATTAAAAATGTATTAATTTGAATGTGATATAATAATCAAGGGAAATAGGGAATTTTTGATGATGTAACCTGAGACATGTACGAAAGAGCTTGTTATTGGACTATTGATTGCCCAATCACCACGTTGCTTCCTAAAACTGGAAAATTAATAAAATTTGTTTTTTTTTTAAAAAAAAAATGTTGAAGACAATTTGGTGGGAAGAAGCCTTGAGATGTTTTTAGACATTTATTAAGCTGATTCAAACTGCACAATTGTGATGCTTTTTTCTTCTCAGATATAGTGTATTCTTGGATTAAAATTATCAATTGCATAATAGCAAATTTCCATAAAATGAATTCACATAAAGGGAAATCTGTAGTTCAGTAAAAGACATATACCATATAGGTTTATTTCTGCTGTTCTTTTCTGATATTTTGACAGATTGGTTTAATTGTAACACACAAGATAGTATTTGAAATTGGTATATCAGTTTTCTGTCAACTAAAAATAAATCAGTAACTACTTAGCTTGTGTTTCTAAAACATGTTTGAGATATTAATGATTACTTTTGATGCAGCACACTCATTCATTTTTACTAGTTAGAAACTGGCTCAAAAATGAAATTCTTTCTACAACTCAATTGTTAACCCTCTCCAGGGGAGTGGGGAAATTAGCTGGAGGACAGAGTTAAAGACTAGGCTGTCTTACCATAGTTCATGGGTGGGAGACACTAAGACCAGAATGGCTAGGCTTGGAGTAAGTACTTGCTGTGATTCTTGATTAACGACAGCAATGGGGACTGCTGGGATTGCCATTGCTAAGCAATACAAGTCACATGAGTTTACAACTGCATTGCTTAGCGATGGAAATTCTGACCAGAGTTGTGATTGTAAGTTGACGACTATCTGTACTTTAATTCTCCTCCTAGTCACTCTGAATTTTGCAACAAGTAATACTTTGTGGGCTGTTTGGGGAGATCTTTAACTTACTTTTACAAACTTCATTTTTGTTAGAAGACGTAGTGGTTGCCTGTGGCCATGGTTGATGTTCTGTTGACATGCAAAAAGTGATAATAACATTCATGTTTTAAATTATGCCAAGTTTCCTTCTCTTTAAACCTGTTTGCAGTACTTCTCAAGTAAAATACAATAGTGTGGAAAGAATTGCAATTGTAATATCTTAGTGTAACTCTAACATTCTAGTACATCCAGTTTTATAGACTTAAATTCACTCAGAAATTGCTAACCGAGTATCCAAAAGAAAAAAAAAAGTAATTGGTGACAAAGTCATTTTGATTCCTGAGATAAATTAGCTCTTTATTTTTATTTTTTTTGTAAATATCTATTCTAGAGGGTTAAGTCCTCATTTCAATAATCAGGTTATACAGTAACATGGATTTGGAATCATATTAATAGCCTAAAAAAATAAGCCCTATGGGTTTATGTAGTTCCAACAGTTTATGTATGAATTCAAACAATTTTTAATAATAGGCTTGGAAGGCATTTATGTTATATTGTGACTGGTAAAGATTGTCCAATCTTCTGACTATATATATATCAGTAACTTAGTATGAAAAAGTCTTCCAGATATTTTGCATTGGGATGTGTATATGCACCCAATGCAAAATACCCTAGACGACTTTTTTTTAATACTCGAAGATCCAGGCAGAGTAATTAATACTATACAGCACTAGATGTGCTGTTATTATTTTTTTAAAAAAGTTGATCTAAATCCATTAAAAAAATAAAAGGAAAGCATGCTTAGTGTTAATCCATATAAAATGCGGCTGTTAACTGAAATTCTTATGTATGCCCTATTTTTACTCTAATTGGTATTTGTTTCATTAAAAACTGCTTTGTTGACTATGACCAAGATCAACTTTATAGCTTTGCAATTTGAAAATCAAAGGGAAAGTAATGGAAACTGCAACATCCAAGCTGTTGCCTATAAGCATTTTTATAGATTGTCAGCTACGTTGAACAAACTACAATGGTTTCCCATTCATTTTTAAATTCATTCAAGTTTGTTGTTTGAACTTTTAAAAAATGATCAGTTTGGTTCTAATGTATTTAAGATATCTTAATTATGAAGATGTTTCCAGGTTATAATGTCAATCTTTCAAGTTTACTAGATGTGTGGTTTTTCTTCATAATTCAGTGCTAGTATTTTTTTACTATTTAAAAAAAAAACCCTTATTTTCAATGTCATTGAAGCCCTGTTGCTTGTCCCATTAATAGGTCTTTTCTTTAATAACCCAAGTACCAAACTATCTCGAGGTATGGCTTCAGGCTAGGCTGTGTAGAGATATGGGAACTCTTATTAATATAATGCAAGATGATAATGTAACTTCTGCAGGTGGGGCATTTTATACCTTGACACTTTGTCCAGAATATCTACTATTGTGCAAGCTACATTGACTGCTACTTGACTTCTGAGTGCAATTCAAGATGCTGGTTATTATCTATAAAACCTGAACATCCCAAAAACTCCTTACCACCCAACTGTCCAATATATTCCAGCAGAAATGTGGCATCACTTTTGCGGCCCTCACCCTCTGGAACAGCATCCCCCCCAAAGATTAGGATGGTACCCTCTCTCCTGGGGGTTCCGGAAAAATTTGAAAATCTGGCTTTGGGTCCAGGCCTAGAATTGATGTTTATTATTTGCTCATTACCTTTTTGTGTTGTTTCTGTTATTCATTAGATTATTTTAGTCGGGCTCTCTGTGAGATTCAATGGTTTTAACTGTTTTGATATTTTCCCTAGTTTTGTATGCTGCCAAGAATCCAGTTGGATGGCCAATAAAATTAAATGTGTTCTTTAAAAAAGGATCTCCTTTTGTAACCCTCCATTGACCAAAGAGTATAAAGTAGAGTATACACACAGTATTTAAGATTTGCAAGATTCGAAGACTACAGGGATCTGTAGAAATACATATTTCGTAAATTCTAATACACAGAGTGTGTGATTTATTTATTCATTCAATTTGTGTAGCTGCCCATCTCTAAATCTGTGACTCTGAGTGCATTTTGGTAGGGCTATTTGAAAATATTGTGGCAGAATACACTGTGTGCAATATAATATTGTACTGTGTGCAATGCAATATTCTTCAAAGTAGATAGAAATCTTTTTAATGTCTATCAGGTTTTGTACATTTATTATCATTGTCCAGTCATTAGTACTGTACCAAGGTATCAAAGCATGACCTGTTACAAAAGTATGGTTTCCTATGTGCTCTAAGAGAGGGTAGCAGCATGTTCCACGGTGTTACAGCAACCACAGAGAAGGCATATCCTCTGGCCCAGGTATTTTTCATTCCTAAAGGATCAAAATCTTGCGTCGACTCATTCTGGACTTGAGTATAAGTATTAGTTTTTAATATTTCAATATCAATCCAATTCAGATTTAAAATATCACAATCCACATCCAGAATATTAACCAAAAATAAAATGAATTAAGGATAAAAAAGTTAACATGTTCAAGTTTAAAGATCTCCTGGAACGAAACAGAAAAAAACTAATTTCTAACATAATGAGAACTGCCACAGATGAGAGAAAGTTGGTGAACTAGTATTATAAAGCAGTTTTGTTCCATTATGGGCATAAGGTGTTTTTTTTTTTTTTTTTAAAAAAAATATTTTTACTTCAAAGCATGGGTATAGAAGAAAGTAATTCTAGAATTGGAGAAAGTTATTTGTTAATCCTTTATTTTATGATTGATAAATGTATTCATATTTAGTAATGGAATATATTCATTATCAAACTTTACTGTAGGATTTTTTAAAATTAATGTCCTGAGCTGAGCATGCCAAATACGTTATTAATTTTTATTGGATTATAAATAAAAAGAAATAGTTTAGAGCTGTATGTCACAATTGTGAAAAAAAGTTTATTCTTTTGCAAAGCAGTATAGTATAATTAACTGAAAGTGACCATTCAGGCCAAGTCAATCATCTACTTAGTCTATTTTAAAGGATGTCAACAAATCCTCCACTACAAAGAATACTGTGCTGAAGAAATCATATCCTAAATGATAAAATAACATTAGGTACATTTTGAATTGTTCTTATTACTAGGTCAGTCTAACCTTTCATCTGCTTCCATGGGATCATTCCCATTGCTTCTCCAATTCCTATTACACAGTTAAGATGATTGGGAATCTTTAAACCATGGCTCCTGCATCAGATCATCAATCACTCACATCTTCTATAAACAAATGACCCTGTTTTCAGCAACCTACTTCTCCAATCTTTCTATTTAATCATCACATTAATAACCACATTTTTAAAGTGTAGTTTGCACTAATTGCAAAGGAAACCTTTTTCAACAAGCTTATGCTGGCTTCCACTACAAGACAAAAATAGTTTGGTTAATGTCAGTTCCTAGTGCTTAGATCAGTGGTTCTCAACCTGTGGGTCGGGACCCCATTTGGGGTCGAACAACCATTTCACGGGGGTCGCCAAACAAGGCTGTCTGCCATTTTTTCCACCTTTTCTTTGGCCACGCCCCTGGCACCCGGTGATGTATAAGTGGTTGGGGGTCACCACAACATGGGGAACTGTATTATGGGGTCGCGGCATTAGAAAGGTTGAGAACCACTGGCTTAGATGGAGTTTTCTTGGCTGTTTTATAGTAGCGATTAAAGTCTCCTACAAATCAAGCTTGACTTCTCATTTATAGCTCTCGAAATTTAAAGCAGCCCGTTATCCAAGGTTTAATCAAACTCTATTTAGCTTCTGAGATCAGCCATTAAATTTGATGCTTCAATCTATAATTACTCTAGTTTCCAAGGTATTATAAATTACTTTGATTTGCTCTAGGATCATCCCTAGTATTACTCAGATTAACTGATCTGTGGCACCCTGGGTGGTCATCTGGCACTTACCTTTTCAGGATTGCCAAACAAAAAAAGAATAATTTGTCATACTACCACTGAATATAAGAAATTTAGACCAGAATAAGCAATATAGAAAAACAGTAGCTTTCAATTACTTTGAAAGTAATATGCTGGTCATTGAAACCAAAGTTCTTTTTCTGGCAATTACAAAAACATTATTACAGGAGTTGAATGTCTCAGAATGTATTGGAACCAAGTCCAAGTATAATGAGGCAGAATTAGCCAGGAGGATTCCTGCATTAACCCTATATAGGTGGAAAATCCTATTAATATTCATATTTGTTACATACCGTACAATGAAGTTGTCACAGATCAAAAACAAAGAAAGACTGCTTTAGAATAGAATAGGATATAGAACAGAAGCTGAAAGGGACATTGAAGGTCTTCTAGTCCAGCACCTTGCACAAGCAGGAACACCATCTCAGGAAGTGAATGTCTAGCCTCTTCTTAAAAATCTCCAGTGATGGAGCGCCCACAATTTCTGGAGGCAAGCTGTTTCACTGTAAATGATCCTCACTGTCAGAAAGTTTCTCCTTAATTCCAGGTTGTTTCTCTCTTTGATCAGCTTCCAACCATTGTTTCTTGTCTTGCCCTCTGGTGCTTTGCAGTGAGCAAAAGGCTATTTGGTAAATGTTCAAAATAATTCTGATTATTTCATGTTTTCTATTTAGAGTACTTTATCACTTAAGCAGATAGAAGAAATTTTGCTTTAAAAAAATCAACTTATTCTGCTGGTACTTTGACTATCATCAAAGCTGGTGATATTTGTTTCAGCATCATTCCTAGAATGAGCAAATAGTTTAAAAAGTTCCTTTTCATTAATCTGTCCCTTAATGTTTGTTTTAACCTATTACATTAAATATTACACTAGATATGTGCATGCAATAGTATGCTAATTGTTTCAAACTTGAAAAATGCTGAAATATTCTACCAGAATAAAATCCATACATTAGAACAATTTGTGTCATTACTGAGGACAATGGCAACTTGACAAAAACTGCTTAATTTATCTTTGCTACAAAAATAGGATAGCCTCTGCTCAGTGCTTGCTAGAGCTAATTAACAAATTAATTGGCCAAGTAGATGGTTTATTGAAGTCTGTAGACCAGTTTCAAAGCATGCTTAACTATTGTTTCCATTACTATGGAAATTTATTTCAATTAAAAATGACCTTGACAATTTTTTCTTAAATTACATAGTAATACATATGTGATAACCTCTCTATTGACAACATCTCATACAGAGTATCTTGCTTCCATGCCTCAGTCAAAAAGTGGATGCATGGGGCTGTTTTAGTTGGGTATGGGCAGAAATGCAATTGTTCTGCCAAGAAAGGATAACTGCAGATTGTGGTTGTGGTGGTAGCTGAGAAAAGTCTGGGATCAATATCTAAGTCACTGTAAGGATCAAGAGTGGAGATTGGTGGGCTATGGAATGCATATTGGCAGTGATTGAAGACAAAGTGAGAAAGTGATGCCCTAGTTGGCCACTGAAATTTCACTGACGCTGTCAAAAAAGCCAATGCAATCTTAAGTTGCATCAAAAGATGGATAGTTTCAAGATCATGTGAAGTGATAGTACTGTTTTAGATTATACTGGTGAGACCACACTTTGAATACTCCGTCCAGTTCTGATCACTATACAAAAAAAATATTGAGACCCTAGCAAGAGTGCAGAGAAGAGCAAAAAAAACAAATAAGGGGGTTGGAGGCTAAACTGTATGATGAACAGAACTAGATACAAAGACTAGGGGTGATATGACAGCAGTCTTTCAGTACTTGAGGTCTGGCAGAGACAAGAACAATGCACCAGAGGACAGAACAAGAAGCTGTGGGTGAAAGATCCAGTCTAGAACTAAAGAGACATTTTTCAATAGTGAGAACAAATTAATCAGTGGAATATCTTACCTCTAGTTGTGGGTACTTCATTACTGGAGACTTTCAAGATTGGACAGCCATTTTTTGGAATGGTATAGGGTCTCTGCTGGAGAAAAGGGTTGGACTGGAAGACTTCCAAGGTCTCTTCCAACCCTATTATTCTATGTGCTGTGTATTAGTATAATCTTTGCATTTTACTGTAAAGATAGTAATCAGGAAGTAATCACATACCAGTAAGGTCTTTGTCCTTGATTTATCTGAACCCAGTAATCCTTTACAAATCAACCATTCATCCCTTTCCCATTTTTACACTCATTTGGTCTCATGGACTGTTAATATACCTATTTCATTTTTTTGGCTGCTCCATTGACTACTCACTTGAAACAATTTATAGGTGCAATAACCCCATGACATAATCTCTATTACAGAATCATCAGCCTTGCTCAAAAATATCTTAAACTTGTCCAATTCCTTTTCCTATCAAGTTAAAACTTGTTCTATACCTTGTTTTCCCGAAAATAAGACCTGGTCTTATTTTTTTTTGGCCTCCCAAAGAGGCACCAGGTCTTATTTTCAGGGGGGTGTTTTTTCTAGTCTCACCACGCAGCAGTGGCGGCAATGACAGCCCCGCCCAGCCAGCCCACTTCTTCTGCGGCTAAAGGTAATACTTCTGCTGCTGAGAATGGAGCTCCAGATTGACGTGCATGGTTCCCCCGGCCTGCATTTTGCCAACAGAGGCCTTTAGCCAAGAACCAAGCTGATTGAATCTGTAGGTCGGTTCTCGGCTGCAGAGGCATTTCCTGAAGGCCTCGGATGGCAAAATGCAGGCCTAGGGGGGGCACTGCAGAAGTGGGCTGGCAAGGCAAGTGTCTATTCATGGGAGGCCTGGCTGCAATGGTAAACTCCACCATTGGCAGCTCCACCTCCCCACCCGACTTTGATTTTCAGGTGTGCACCTCGCCCCGAAACTAGCATTTATTTTGGGGGTAGGGCTTATATTAGGCCCACCTCCCAAAAATCAAGCTAGGGCTTATTTTCAGGATAGGTCTTACATTCGGGAAAACATGGTAGTATATTTTAAATTGCAGATTATCTCTACCTTATTGGAATCCTGTGACTACGAAATCTTTTTAGTTCTTGAAAAAGCTATGATCTTAAACAAAACTGTTCTAAAGAATTGGACTAGGTTCACCTCGTCTCCGATCTTCATGGGCGATAACCCAAACAGTAATTTAATTTCTGTGGAATTTTATCCCAATATCTTTCACCCCCAAAACCAGCAAACCCCTATGTTGAACTTCTCTACAAATCCTTAACCCCCAAGCTCCTGGGAGAATTTTTAAAATTTATATTGTGGGCTGCTACCATACTAGCCATTTTTCACACCTACAATTACCCGTTTTCCTAAAATTGGCTTACTCCATATTCATATAGTTCAAGCCAGGTGACTTCAAATTTATCCACCCAGGTTTTTTTTAATGCATTACCAAATTATGCCAAGCTTTTATTATTACAAATATTTGGATTGGAACTCTTCTGGAAACATGCTGGCCTGGGGCAAATTAGCTTGAGATCTAGACACTTATTATAAAGCTGTAGTTCTTGCTAAGAAATGTTAAGTTGTATGTCTTTTGTTTTTGTAGATTTACAAGTAATCTTCAACACCCTGGAAAAAAAATTACCTACTTCAATGGACCACTTAATTATTGCATCATGATACTTATCCAAAGCAAGTGTAATTGTCTGTGACTTAACTGAACCTTTTACTTTATGTTAAAATGTCAAAACAATGCTGTACTTCCCAATGCTTCTATATTAACTTTATTTTCATACCTTTATATTAACTTCATTGAAGTTTTTAACAAGCCAGAATTCCATTCTATTCCCTGTATATTGGATTTCTATTCCAATTCTATTTCCAGCCTTGGAATTTCACAATGATCTCCAATCCAGGGAGTAATGAGGCCCAACCCTGCTTGGCATCACCAATTCCATCCTGTCATCTAGCATTTGTCCAAGTTCTGAAATCAAGCAAACTATTCCAGAGTTAAATTTTAGGACAATGACTTATAATACAAATTACTTTTAAGAACCAGATTTGACTTACAAGTTACTATTCAAAGTTAAACTGTGTATAGTAATACTTGAAAATATATTTCATTAAATCTGAAGTATCAACCAAACCCCTATCAAATTTCATTTATAATTAATCAATAAAATGCTCCCAAGAAAGGCTATCATCTGAAAGAGATTTTGAATTTCTCTGTGTATCTTTTGTATAGATCTTTTATATCCACCCATTTTGGAGAGGGGGAATGTTTTTTAACAAGCATCACTTTCTTTTGTGGAATTAAAATTATACTGCAAGTCTGTTCATATTAGGGTAATTTGCTCGAAGTACCTCCAGACAGGACCCAAAGTATATCTTCTCTTGCACTACTCCATCCATGTGGCTCCCAAGTTTACCATGTCTCTGAACACTTGGCTTTTCTTTGAAATCTTGAGTCAGGCTGGATGTCCTTACAGGTTCTGAAAGTTAATCTGAGTGTTTTCTGTTGTGAATGTACTTTTATTTTATAGTTCTTAATATTGTACATCACTCAGCATATTTATGGAATTATGTGACCTTCTAAATTTAATAAATAAATCATTTTTCCACAGACAAATATTTTTCTAATGTATTTTTTTCTAGTCTATTTCAGGAATTTTGTAACTTTCATGTATCATGGAATAAGGAGTATGTACATGGAATAATACTACATACTAATATATTGAAATGCTAATTTCTATCTTACACTTTAAAAACGACCTAAAGAAATGGCATTATTCACAATGTTTAAATGTTAAAAAGATAATGTGGGTGAGAATGCTGTGATGAACCTAGAAAAACAGCTGAGCAGATTACTTCAACTGCTTTTTGGGGCAAGTAACACATCACCTTAATTTCAGGAAATCACAAAATACAACCTCTTTATTAATATTAAAGCTTGTGATTTATTGAAAATGCTGGGTTATACAGATTGCTTTATATGTTTAAAGCTCATTTTGTCAACACTGGAAGAAAAAGTACTTACAGTATCATTAAACCATTTAATCAAAATTTTAGATGTAAAAAGTTACATTGATCACTTTACTACTGCAATTGCTGCTCCCAAACAATTGAGAAGGGAACTTAAGTTGCTGCAGATTCTTGCCCCACCAACCTCAACAGGCCGGGACAAGTGCAATACCACAGATTTAACACAGCATTGCAACCGATCCCAACCTGTGTAGAAAGGGGTACAACTTAGTATACATTCTTGCCTTTTCACTGCCACAGTCAGTTTTGCATGGATTTGCACAGCAAAATATCATACAGCTGGATGCAAACCTGCAAAACTAACCAGAGAACAGTGTTTAACAGCCATTAAAAGGAGAAACAGGGGAAAACGGGATAAATATGAAGTTCTTCAGCTAGTAGTACTTTAAGTGCTCCTAATGCAGTAGATTATGAAACACTACCTGCACTATAAGCACTTTAGTGCTACAGGAGCCATTTAGGATCACTTGTTCTGTGAAGGATAGCCTAAATTAACTCACAATGTAGACACGAAGATAATAACAGGCCACAATCAGTTTTGCATAGATTTGCACAACTACATTCTTCCTGTAGTGCAACTATGCAAAACTAACAGAAGACTGCAAGACATTATTAGATTTTACTTTCTGTGTTCAGTAATTGGGAGAAAATACAACTTCTTATGCCAGAAGGAGCACTTAGGGCAGTAGATGCTAATCTATTTCACTATCTGCACTAGATGCACCTTAGAACAAAAAGCAGTTATTGTGTGGAAGCCACTGTGGAGGAAATTTTCAAATGTTTTTGAGGCGCTTGCCAGCATAATGCTACAAGTGCCTTCACTGCAGTAGGTTTTATAAATCACTACCTGCACTGTAAGCACTTTGACATTATTCTAACATGACCAGGATCTTCTTATTTCAAACATTTTTTTCACCTGACAAAAAGAAAATCAAAGTTTCCATTAATTTTCAGTATAAGCAAATAAATTAGAAATACATAAAACTCATCACTTATGGTAAAAATAGTATCTGGGTACGCCTAACATCTTCAACAGAAGTATCAAACAGTTTTATAGGTCTAACTAGAAGAGCTTGAATAATTCACTGAACTGGATATGTAACTATTGTATGGTCAAACTATTTCAGGTTTTTTGAACCATAGTGAGCTGTGTCTCATAAAAAATATAATGATGAAAACTGTAGACCAAAATTAACATATGTCCTTTATCAAAACCTATTTCTAAACTAGTGTGCGATACTGAATTTTGTAAATTTATAAAAGTAATTAATATATTTACAGGCCTAATCCAGGAAAAGTTTCCACCAGTCTCTGATAAGTTATTTTACTCTACTCTCAACAATAGTATAGTATCACATACAACTGAAAATTTATCAACACCTGTTACTTCTAAATAAGCAATTCTTTTCTTTGAGTACTGAGATTTCAAATAACCCATCAATAATAGTAAAAAAAAAATCAGGTCTTTATCAGCGGCTCATGAACACATTTAATTCTTTCAAGTAACATGAAAGTAGTTTCAGGCACGCTTATAATTAAAAGTTAGGGCCAGTGGCTAACGGGCCACACCACAGAATCAAAGAATCAAAGACCAGATCCCCCTATGTAGTACATTTCTATTTCTTTGTGCAGCGATGCTGCCTTCCAGTGACAGTTTCCCCAAAGGGGAACAACTCCCAAGTTCTATTCACCCAAGTATTCCAAAAACAGTGCAAGGAAACTTACTCAGTTCCACATCCGTGACTTGTACAACTGCAGGGCAAAACATCGCCTCCCGTAGAGATGATAAAACCAGCCGACCATAAAAGCCTCTCACGGAGGGAGGGGAAACCGGGGCTGCCCCTTTTTTTCAACTTTGAAGGCGCCACCTAACAGCAAAACAAACAAACAAGAAGTTATTTGCGGGCGTTTCACCAACAGCTACTTCGCGAACGCGGCCCAGGCCAACGACGGCTAACGGGAGGCGCGCCTAGAGCTGGCGGGAAGCGGCCGGGGAAACACAATGGCGCCCCCCGAGCCGGGCTCGCGGCTTCTCCGGAGCAGCACGTGCTGCGCGCCGGAGCCGACCCGGCCGGCAAGGGCGCCAGGGGGCGCTGCGGCGGCGGCACCAGGTCAGAGCACGGCAACCAGCGCAGCGCACTTCGTTTCCTCGCCCCGCTGCCTTTCCTCCACCCCCGCCGGCCAGGCCCGAGTTGTTACTTCCTTTCGCGTCCCCGCGGGCCGGCCGCGCGTGCCTTCTCCGTGCGTCGTCATTCGCCGCCGGTGGCTCCTGCCCCACTCCAGTCCGCCGACGGTGGCGGCGCCTCCCGCCCGGGCACCAACGGCGTCTCCCACATGGCCGAGGCCTAGCGAGGAACAATCGGCCTCAGCACGCGCAGCCGCTGCCGCCGCCATGTCCCGGCCCCGCCCCCCTCGGCAACATGGCGCCGCCGCCGCCGCGGCCCCGTAACCGCCGGCGTCTTCGCACTTCGCTCGCAGCCTCGACCCCGCCGCGGCTCCGTGCCTGGCCCCGACGGCCGGGACAGGGAGCGGGCTATGGGGTGGGGGCGGGGAAGGGTTTGCCGCGGCCCCCCAGGGCCAGGGAACGGAGATCGCCCCCGCCCCTCCCAGAACAAAAGCCCACGCGGAGAGGGCCGGATGACCTCCCGCCTCCCTTTCCCGGTCCTGCCGAAGCCCGGCTCCCAGTGTGCCCGGCCCCACGGCCGCCCCCTCTCTGGCCCGCTCCCCCCCTTCGCCCGCGTGGATACCTCGGTCGCCCCTGCCCATGTGCCCGCTGCCGCCGCTTTTGTTCTGCGGAGGGAGTCAAAGCCGCGGCCGCCTCCCCGCCACAGCACCGTGGACCTACCTCGGCCCTCGGCCGGCGCACGGATCGCGCCTTCTCCCAGCCCGAACGAGGCGGCGGCGGTTGCCGCGGCCACCGCGCGGCCTTTTCAAATCTCCCTCATTCCGGCCCCGCCCGCCCCCGTGCGCGCGGCCGACTTTCGTCGTGCGGGAGGCGCCGCCGCCGTTTGCTTGCGCGCGCGCGCACGGTCGGACGGGCTCCTTCGCCGGCCATGCGCCCGGCCAACCCCCTCGCTCACTCGCTCGCTCTTTTCCGGTGCCTGGTCGCGGCCGCCGCCAGCCAGCCAGCCTGACCCGCTCGCGTTGTGGAGCCCCAGAGGTCGGCGGAGCCCTTCGCCCGCAACTCACCCGCAGCCAACCGCCGCGATCGTCGCCTGCCCCACCCCCTCTCCCGCTCTTCTTAGAAAGCACGGAAGGGGCGGGAAGGAGGGGGAGGAGACCGCGGCGGCGAGGATGATGGCGGCGGCATCAAGAGAGGGAAGAGGAAAAACCATGTGGATTAAAAAAAAAAAAAATGAAGGGCGGCGGCTCCCGCCTCCACGTAAATATCCACACTCCTCTGCCCCGCCCTCATTAGCATAGAAAACAAAGTGCTTTCGAGCGCCGCGCCGGCCAATCAGAGAAAGCCCCGCCCCCCAACCGGCGAGACCCCGCCCCTTACTACTGCTGTTCGGATTGCTACTATGTTCGTTCTCCCGCGCACGGCGAGCGCCGATTCATCCCTGGCGCGTCGACAGCCGCATCTCTGGCTGTTCGAGGGATTCTCCCCGGACGGAGAAGGGGGCGGGGCTTCAGGAGCTCGGCCTCGAGGCCGCCCTCGCGCTGGCTCGACGAAAGCGCCTGCCGCCCAGCCAACGCAGCCTTCGAGGGCCCCCTCCCGCTTTCCAGCCTTCAACCTTCCCCTAGGTTGAATGAATGGTCCCGTAGTCCCTCCGGCTTACCGGAGGGGAGGCTTCCAAAGCGTGGGAAAAGGAGGTTTTCTCACACCGGAGAAGGGGAGCTTGGCAAAACTCGGTCCGCCTCTTGCTGCAAATGACTCTTCTCTCGGATGAGCCTGAGAAGAGTTTCCGAAGAAACCGGCTGTGCAAAGCAACCCGTGGGCGAGAGAAGAAATTCCCCAGCGGGTCTTCCCCGCACGTGTGTCCCCGATTGAGGCGCCCTCCCGAAGCGGCCCCCAAAAGTCCCCTCTCGAAAGGAGGGTCAAGAGGGCCGCCGACATCGCAAGGAATCACGAAGGATTGCTCTTACCCCGAGGACGCAGCCTTTCTCCGCACCCGCTGGGCTTAAGCTTCACCTTCCGCCTCTCGACGTGAGCATCAAGCGGCCAAAGTTTCATTGAAAACCCCCTCCTCCCCAACAAAAGAGGAGGGAAGCTCAGAAACAACCGAGAAAAAGGACTCGACAGGCTGCGGTTCTCCGAAGCATGCTTGCCTTGCACCCGGCCACGCAGCGAGGCTTTGCAGTCGCTCCTGCGAGAAGGAAGAAGGGGGGGAAGGAGGGAGGGGAGGGGGATGCCTGGGATGGCTCTTTGGCATCCCGCCCCCTCCCCCTTCCTGTTGTGTTTGCTCACTCCCGTTAGCGGCTCATTCGCTGGCGGCGGGTTGTTTTTGTTAGATTCGCAGGGATAAGGAGGAGCCTCGGTGCGCGCCCCCTCCCGCCTTGAGCTGGCCGCTCGCGCAGCAGCCCGCGCCTGCAGCCCCCCCCTTTTTTTGATACCTTTGCTGAGATCGCGTGTATAAAGTGCCTTCGCCAGCCGTACAAAGAGGAGCCGAGCGCGCAAAAAAAGGAGAGCCACCTTTCTTCTTCCTCTTCCGCCCCCCCCGGCATCCCGTCCCGTCTTTCCTTCACTCCCGTCGAACAAAGTAATTGTTTCCCCCACCCCTCCCACCGCCTCAACTTCCCTTTCCCGATTGAAATGCAAGGCCAGGGGAAAGGATTTGCAAGTTTCCAGATCGATGCTGCCTTGCAGAAGGAACCCGAAACTATTGTTAATTTACTTTTTTTAATTTTTTTTTCTTATAGCAATGCGTAACAGCCGGTCCCTAGTACCGGACCGTGGGCTCGATGTAGATGCGGAGCGCTCGTTCCCCGCGGTGCCTTCGGGCGGGCAGGAATGCATCCGGCCGCCGAGCTGGAAAGATTTCCCCCCCTCTCTGCCGCCCCTTCCCCCTCTCGCTTTAATTGTGCAGGGAAGCGAAGTGTTTCCAAAACACGTGAAAGCTGTTCAGGCGGCGAGCCTTTGACTAGCAGTTAGCGCTGGCGACGTTTAAAAGCTAACAGAAGCATACAAGCGGACCTTTAACGTGCAATTTTCGGAAGTTGCTCTTGGAAAGAGTTTTGAGTCTTCCCCCCCCCCCCAGTTTAAACGTCGCGCTTTCGATGGAAGACAAACGGGAGCGTTAAACTTAGTCGTGCGAGAATGAATTGGCCGATTTTAAATTCAAGAATTTATTTTAAGATACTAGAAAATTGCCAAAGGAAGTGACCTCCAGGATTTACCAGTTTCATCGGGGGGGGGGGGGACAAAGAATCATAATATTCCAAACAAATTGGCTGTTGTGAATTTTGTTTAATGTTTCAGTTGAGTTTATCTCGGTCGTTTAAATCTGATGAATGTACTTGCTTTATATTATGATATAATCGGGCAAATCCTTTATACACAACCTCCCCTGTCTTTGGTGAGCAAAGTTGAAGTTTAAAAGCCTTTGTCACTTGATGAAGTAGCTTCTGAACTGAATTGTATTTACAATTGTTAAATATACTCATACCTTCTTATAAGGGGGTCTATATGCATGTGATGTAGGCTAATTTTAGAATTTTTTTTCCTAATAAGATTTAATGACTTATCCAAGAAGAGAAGTTTGAGTAGTAATTTGAAACTGCTTCCCCTGAGTTCTAAAGTTGATTTCACATAACATCTTGAACCAGATTGGTGGGGAAAACAGGATGGGATCCAGGGAGATGATTCATAACTATTTAATTTGTACTTATAAATTACATTCACAGCAAGTATAAATATATAACATATTTTGACTTTTTTTTTTAAAAAAAAGTGCATAATTTCTCCCAAACCATATTAATGGTCATTTATAATGAACACTGCAGAATGAGAAATAAAACATTTTCAGCCTTTTAAATTTTCATATCAGTTTTGATAATGTGCATATATAAAAATGAAATCCAAGTTATGGTTGCTTCAAAGTAGGTCCCGTTGATCTGGGTTTTAAACTGTGGAAAAACACTCCATATTTATTGAAAAATAATTCCCATTGATTTAATCAAGCTTACTTTTATGCTGCCCATCCCTATAAGATTCCTCTGGCTGTTATAAAAGAGATAGAAAAATAATTTAACAATTATGGTTAAGTCCAAGTAAGGCTGGGAATAGGTATATTAGGACTTTTGAGGAAACATTTTTGAAACACACTTCTCATCTGATCAAAAGCAAGTTTCACTGAATTCAGTGGAACATTGAAAAGATAGTGGTTGTATTAAGCAAGTCCACTGGGCTCTATAGTGGTGCTGCTTATCTCAGAGTAAACATTCATACAAATGGGTTGTAAAAGTTTTAGCTTATGCATACAGAGTTGAGTAAGTGGTGGTTGGGAAACTAAAAAATTCTATTTTATGTGTCCTCTACTTAGACCAAGGGATGGCAACTAATTTTTAACAGAGGTCACATTTTCAGGAGAGCATGGGTGATAAGGTCACTAACACCATCTCTTTTCACTGACCTTCCTGCCCAAACATTGCCAAATAGGTTCTTTTAACAAGGTGAACAGTAGCTGCTCCTTGTTATCAGTGACTTAAACCTGACCTGGTAGATGACAGTTAAGATGCAGGAGGAAGGTTGAAAATTGGATTACTGTATTGTCCATAACGTGAACGTTCCAACAAAAAATTAACCCGGGCAAAAGAAGAGTAGCCAGATAATTCTCAAGCAGTTTAATTTTATGTGCCCAGAATTTTTTTTCAGAAAATATTAACCCAGCTTACAATATAAAGTGCACTTAAGATGCTG